GATGGGGGCTGTAGGGATGTTGAGGGAGGGAAGAAGGGATGGATGGATGTATCGCTCGGTGTGAGTCGGAAGGGGAACTGTATGGGTAGAAGGGAGAGGGAGGGTGGGTTGAAAGGATGGAGACAAGCAGTGGTCGGAAGTTTTGCCGGATATAAATAGGGGTGGCCGTGGTTCGAGGCGGAGTTTTAGGCGTGGCCATGCTCCTGAACCTATGTTAACAATTTAACCTCATTTCACTAGCAGGAACCACGCCACAACAGTGTGATGTTTGTAAGTTTATTGAAGTAACATGTGAATGATATGAGGGGGGTGAAGAGATGATCTGGGAGGACGAGCTGTGGTCCGTGCAGTGGGAGACTCAGAGTGGGGGTTCCGTCTCCGGCATGATCTGCGTGGGCTGATTACGGGCCCCCAAAAGAGTCGGATTAAAGCAGCTGACTTAAGCGTGTTTAAGATCATTGAGATTGTTGCGGATGTAAGCGTGATACGCTTGGGATGACGAGCGGCCGAGGGCCTAGATGGTTGGATAAGAGATGCCCGGTCTAGCTGCTGTCACCCTGTGGAGGCAGAGTGGAACTGACACATTATTTACTGACAGGAAAGCAGATTGTCACATGTAGCATGTCTGGTCATGGCTGGTCCTTTTGTCGACTATGTCCTTTACATGGGTTTTACAGGTTTTCCTGGACATATAAGTTGCAAAAGAAGTTAGAAAAGTAAACATTCCTGTGGCTTTACATTGTGATGATGGCCTGTTTACCTCAAGAGTACATTATGGTACTGAAATCGGTCACGGTGCAGAATAAGTCATGTTGTACTTTTACTTAAAGGACACCTATCATGCTATATTTGAACAATATATTGTAGGGCCATACCTATATAAAGTATATAAATATAGTTTTTTTTTCAAAATACCAAACAGATCCTGCATTTTAGCTATGCCTCATTTCGCTCTATTTGCTCTTTCCAGCGCTGTTTTTGCAGGGGGCTGATTCTGTGAGCTGCAGCTGACCACGCCCCCCTGCAGGAGAGGGGAGCGTGCTTTGAGATCAGCTGCTAGGCTGCAGCGGGGAGAAGAGGGGGAGAAAAAGAGATCTCCGTCCTCCGTGTTTTATTCTTATAGAAGTAAGAAGAGAAGTAATGGGGCAGAAACCCTCCTTTTTACGCAGCGGTCCAGACATAGACATCAAACGGCGACACATACTCAGTTGCCAGTTACTTTGGCATTAGGGCAGGGATATCTAGGTACTTTCCAAGGTTTGACATCATGAATTGTGCTACTTTTAAAGCAAGCAACGATGTTTTCAAATCTGTAATCAAAAAGCTCCTCAAAAACACTATCGAAGCAGTTCCTGCCGTTGCTACGTTAGTTCAAACAGTAACAACGGACTATTTTTCTTAGCGGACGCATGTCAATTTAAATCAATACATAAAACTATTTTTTTAATTAATAAAATCATTTTCTAAATCCATAAAAGCATTTCAATTAATATTGGGAGTCATGTCGTTACTTTGTCGAGAATGTGGCCATGTAATAAGCGGGATAATATGCACATTGCATAATGTGCCTTCATACCGATCTAGATCCCTCCGCTTCGCGTCGGGCTCCTGATCAGCCTGTCGGTGTTCTTTTCCCCATAATGACCGCGTCGCTGCACATTATCCCTTACATGTGATTATATAGTCATTATTCATTTGTTTTAAAGCAGGAGGCGCAAACGCTTGCCTCGGGGTGGGAGAAAAAGAGCCACAGCGGAGAATAAACAGAAGGGCAACCATAGAACCATGCAAGGGAAGTCTTCTTCGCTGCTTTTGTGGCAGACTACAGCGCCACTTACAGGCCTGGCATATGTACTACAGCGTCTCCAGCGCTTTCGAGCAGCAATGGCCGGCCGTGGCCCAACCTCTCATTCCCCTAATAGGTGGAGAATTGACCAATAGCCGAAGCGCCACTTTACTGACGTCAGTAAAGTGTTCAAATCTGGATCAGTCTGTATCAGATCCGTTGCAGCCCCTTTTTTAGAGATTTGTGTATGGAGGAAAATAGAGAGGGTTGTGTTTTCTGACACTTGGTGAGTTCCCTGGAACACCGGGGACACATATTCATGTATAAAAGACGTACAAAAGTGCATTTTGCATGAACTTGAATTCAGGAGTTTTACTTGTAATGGAGTATTTTAACGCCATAGTGTTTCTACTTTTACTCAAGTACAGGATCTTAGTACATAATCCACCTCTGGTTAGCTGCCTGAAATAAGGTCTGTGGTTAACAGAAGCACAAAGTAGATCTAAGTTTCATTCTACTATATACAACATTTGAGTGAATAGTGAATGTCCAAAGCTTACAGTATATGTGTCTTAAAAACAGAGGTTGCCAAGAGGCGTCTCAATGAGACTGCTAACCATCATCACACCGAACATTAGCCGCCTTTAGCTTAGCGGTGGTGACCACGATGTACTTCCTTTATAGCCTTACGTTAGGCTTTTACTTGTGGAGATTGCATTTATGCTCTAAAGACCAATAACATTTGTGTTAATGCAGTATTTCGAACCCCAACGGAAAAATCCCCTTGTTTTTGTCGGGGGAGCCCTCGTGATGCTAACCTCTGGGTCGGCCTACAAAAGTACATCATTACTGCAATACTACAGACCCTTTTTCACGGCGGTTAATTGGACATGACATTGCAGGGAGGGTACACAAAGCTCTCAATGGTAACATTAATTGGGATCTGCATCCCTGAAATATTGAATTCAAAACAAAACCCTCCTATTTGAGGGAGTGTTGTGTGTATTGTGTAAGAGTGTTGCTAGCAGTGAGTCATTCCACATCAGAGCTGTTTAACAAGCCTTCATGGCTCAGTGAGAAATACTCAGAGTGTGTGTGAGCTGTGGGGTGTGTGGGAGTGATCCACAGCGAGGAGTGCAGATGCTTTGGAATTGTTTCTCTCTTCAGAAAGAGGGAAAGGCAGAGGTCAGAAAATCAGGGGCAGAGTTGGGCTTTTATCTCAGCAGGAGAACGAGCTGCTGCTGCTGACTGTAAAACTCCTCAGCCTTTTCTTGACTTTGCAGAGCGAAGTCAGATTTTCCTAAATGCTGCCTCTTTTTTCCGCCTCACTTTTAATGGTAAAGACGTGCTGTTGCATGTTTGAGCCAACCTGCTGAGAGCGTGGCGCATTTGGAGAGTTCAAAGCCAGGACAGTATCTGCTGCTCTGCGCTCACTGCCAGTCTGTAATGGAGCATTAACTCATGGAATATGTGACCACAAAGTGATTTGATGGGAAATGTAGAGGTTGTGTACACATGTATGAAACAGGACAAAAGTTAGAATAACACTGTACAGGGGATAGGTGAACACTTTCTCTCACTAGTCA